CATCCGTAACAGAAAAAGGATGGGGACTCAATCCCCAAATCCTGCCCCTTTATGTTGTGCCATCATACGGCTATCATACAAATGTGGTAATCTTGTGAAAGGGTTTACTACAGCTATCAATATGCTCCCTGTATATAAGTCTGGTAGCACCATCATCAGCTTCAATTTATTATCTTAGTTGTTATTTAAAAAGAAAAATAAAGCGACATTCTTGTATAATGCAAAAGATATGGGACAAGATAACTCAAATATATCTCATTAATATCATATCTAGATCGTAATATCTCATTAATATCATATCTAGATCGTAAGTTACTTAAAACCCCTGGTTCATGCAAATAAGCCAATTTTGTCATATCATCCACTCTACATGGCGGTGCTTCAGCATCTTTCGGATATACATTTGATGCCTTGGCAACAACCTAATATCAATATAAAAGAAAAAATGAATATCCTAAATCCTAATTGTACAAACATAAGGCCTCAACTCCATTTCTTTCAGAAAACTCACAAAGAATAAATAACAAAACTGAAAACACTAAAACAGTTCAAATTATAAATATTCATCTACTATACTCAAATCAATCAATTGGCCTTGGCTTCTATCCACAACATGTTTATACATAGCAAGGTCCTCATACGTGTAACTTTTATACCAATAATCCATACCAATAACCCTCCACATAGAAGGATCCTTGCAGACTTTCTGGGCATTCTCAAGTATGTCAAACACGTCAAGTCTGGAAAGTATATTAGACATTACATCTGATGGAAGATCCAACCAGTTCCTTCTTGGTTGTTCCACCTGCCATGGCTGCTTGGGTTTTGGAACGAACTCGACCTTCTTGGGTTTTCAACGATTCGATTTTGATGTGGATGGCATCATCACTTTTGCATGTACAAAACAATCATAATTTTAGACCAAGCCATATATTAAAAGATTTGTTCACATACTTAAAATGAATAACCACTCAGTGACAGGGGTAAATGAACCAAAATGCTATTTCAAACCTGAAGATCAAATTTTCAGGAAACACAATTGCAGGACGCATTCGTAATTACCAATAACAAGAACACGAATTTGACTTGGCATAGCAAAGTGGACAATCAAACAGTACCTACCATTTTTCAACAGTGAAGCTTGGATCTGATCAGGAAGCAAATCAGCAGCTGTCAGGTAGATTATGTCAAATGCCTGTGAATGCCATATCAAATTTACCTTCAATCGTAACCTTGCATACCTACATATAATAGCACACAAAGAATGTAGGAAATCATAAATCACACGTTTAGTTGAAAAGGATGTTAAAATAGATTCCTTTCGAAAAACATACTTCTCAAAATACCTACCATTTATATGCAATCAAACATGTACAACGCAAAAGAACCAAACATGGATTTATAACATAAAAGATTTAAAAACCAGAAAAACTTACTTAACTATTGCATAGGCCTGGTTGGACTCTAATGGGTTTGGATATGTCTGCAAGAAGAAAGATTAAAACAACAATTACCAACTGTCATATAGCTATTGCATTAGTAATTTTACGCTCCCATACTTGCCATATCACAAACAATGGGAGAGGGGGTAACGATATGAAAACAGAGCAAATTCATTTTTTCAGAGTGGACCTGTGAACTATGCCAATATGGCATGAAGCTCCAAAGTCTAAGGACCGATAGAAGCAATGGCAAAATGAGGCCGAATTGGCTTCGATAGAGCTTTGTTAAACACTTCTTCTACAGCAACCTAACGATAATTGGAAGATAAAAATGAAAACTGTCGAATGGCAGGGTTCTGAATATAATTACAATTGATACAAAAATTAGGGCTTACATGGAGAGAAAAATTGAAGGAACAAGCGGAGGAGAGTTTGGGGCGACAAAGGACGCGATCGCAAACGAGGTTCCAAGAGCGGCTAATGCAAGCGGCTGAGGCGAATGAAAAGGTCGGAAGTCTGGCGACTACATACAAACCCATAGAAAACTCAAGAACCCTAACCCATAAAAGTGAAGATTTCGATAGGAATCAACACACAAAAACAATTAATTYGAGTGCTAACCCATAGAAAAATCGAAAACCCTAACCAATCAAATGAAGATGGGAAAACAAAAATATTACCTGGATTGGAACCCTAGCCATATTTGAAGCATGGATCGAGAGCGAATCGATGTATGGTGATCTTGAATAAGGAATCATCGTACAGGATATCGAATCGGCAACTTCTGAATCGTCACTTTAGGAGGGAATCAATGAGAGTGTGTGGAGAGATTACACGGTGATCTTGAATAAGTAATCGGGAGCATGAATCGTCAATTTTTGAATCGAATTTCCGAAGCATCTCGATGACAGTGTATGGAGTGATGAGACCTTCTCTTGGGAAAATAATCTTCTTCACGCTTCTCTTGGGAAAATAATCGTCAATTTTAGAGGAGTGTGAAGGTAGCATTAGTAACTTGTACATTAGGCATAAATCATTGTTTTTAAGACTTTTAAGATTTAATGCATAAAATGGTAGTACCTTATGCATCAAAATTTGTTTTTAAGACTTTTAAGACTCAATGTATAAAAAGGTAGTACCTTATTCATCAAAACTTGTTCTTAAGACTTTTACCAAATCTCATTTATAAGATAGTATAGATTATATGTAATAATTATTTAGAATCATAAAAATTTGTTTTAACAATATATATATATATATATATATATATAATTTGAAATTCTTTTAATTAATATATTTATATTATTTAATTTTCATTGACTATCTTATTTGTACTAGCTAATTAATATATCATATTATTAGAGATCTGTTAGATTTATATTATGAAATATTGTAATTGACTATATTTTCAAGACGTCCTTTTTAGTCGGTTTACAATTTTTTTTAGCTTATTAGATAATTGTTGTTAAACATGATCCGTTTATCAGCTAAAAAATGTTTAACAACAATCAGTTAGTTTGCCAAAAATAGCCATAGTATAAACACTCCACGACACCCCCATCTTCTTCCCCAATATCTTCTCCGTTGAACAACCCCACACACCTCCGACAACGTAGACCCACCCACACTATTCGTCTTGGTTGCGTTAGTATATTTCTTTTATTTTCATTCATTTTTAGTTATATTTTGATAATTTGACACATATGGTCTTCATTAGAGGGGGAAGTGTGTCAGATACAGTCGTTGGTGATAAAGGTTAACTGAATAATCAATTTTCTTGCATAAGATCCATTATATCAATAGAATATCCATCTCCAGCTGCACCAAAAAATTAACAATTATGTATCGACTAACAAATCTTAAAATCTTACCCTAATAAATTAGTGTCTAATAATAAATCATAAATATTAAAGAATGTGAAAACGAATGAAGGCACCAGTTTGACAGTAGAGAGATGGGGAGGAGGGAAGGACGAGAAGTAGGTGCAGTGAACAGTTGATGTTGGATATGACATCCTTACACAATTTCAAAAGACATGACATCTGATAGAAATACATTTCAACGAAGGATTAGAGTAGCACACTATCAGGTCATATAACACACTAGCAGGTTAGACATAAACACTTATAGCTGATTAGAAGAGAGCTAGACAGGTTGGAAGGAGGTAGAATGTTTTCACGTAAACAACCACCCTGATCTTAAAGATAGAAACCTAATCTACATAATCTCGTCCTTTAAATTCTACTTTTAAGTGAGATATACATGTTCCCTTCATTTTGGTATTKAATATTATGGGTGTATGCGGGTTGTGTTGGATGGTTTGCGGTATTCATACAACTCAACCTAATTACAGTGGTTTGAAAAAATCTCAACACAACTTAACCCTTATGGTTTGGGACGGTTGGGTTGGATTGACGGGTTGATAGTATACATAAATTTGACGAATGAAATATGATAAGTATTATAAAAAAATATACCTAAAAGAAGTTGTTACAATTATCCAAAAATACATTTAAATCTTGAATAATAGATTATACTTTGAATCTTCAATCAAGTATAACCGTTTTCGACATCTTTGACTCTAATGTTGCTGTCGCCTTGAATTTGTATAGATTTGTCTATAATACGACAACAAATCGGCAACAACCAAAGTCGACTTGAAGATTAGGGTTCTAGATTTGATAATAGATTGGATTTATTTTGGGCCTTGGGCTGTAAGGACCTGATCGATGGATTAGACCTATTTGGGCATCTTCATTTATACAGTTATAATACTAGAAGGGTACTCGTGTAATGCATCGAAACACATCTCGGTTTCAATGTTTCGTTTATTCTTTTTTTATGTCATATAATATGTTTTTATGTATGTTATAAATACGATAATATTTTTATTTTTGAATAAAATATAAATATGAAAATATCATAAATTTTTTAAATAAATATATATATCGATATCAGTATCAAATTAACTTTTTTGAAAGTTATTGTTTTTGTTGTAATTTTTCTTAATTCAAATTTTTTTATTATAATTTAATTTATGTTTAATAATATAATTTTTTATAAAAATAATAATTAAGTAATCTTTTAGAATTCAATAACTATTCTAATTATATTTTAGGTTTTTTGTATTTAAAATAAGATATTTATCTAGTATTTAATTATTTTTATCTGTAGTTAGTTGTACGAATTCAAATATAGAATTTTAATAAATTGTATTTATGTATAGTTACTTGTCATCTTGAATTTTAAGTAATATACACTAATAAATAATATTTTATGTTTTATATATAAAAATGATTTGTTAAAATTTTTATAAAATATTTTATAATATGGTAGGGAGAGAACAAAAACCGTGTGGGATAATCATAAAAGACTTGAAAATTCGTGTTTGCTTTCATGAAAACCAAAAAACCGTGTGGGAGCAAGTAACAGCTGTAGGTTCTTTTTGCCTGCTAAGATATATACCAATTTTTTAATTATTTTTTAAATAATCGAATATTTATATTTAATTTCGTTGTATAAATATCCCATTTTTCACCTCCATTTTCACTGCAACTCTAAACCCTCCTTCACTCTTCACCTTTCTTTCCTCTCTCTCCAAAACCTCCACATTAATGGCGACTGCTTCTCGTCTGATTCAACTTCTCTTCGTATTATCCATTCTCCACATTTCCTCCGCCGGGAGACGACTCAGTGAGTTAGTCCAGGACTCGTCCAATCTCTTACAGTACCACAACGGCGCTCTCCTCTCCGGCGACATCTCCGTCAATTTCATCTGGTACGGCAACTTCAAGCCGTCGCAGAAAGCCATCGTTTCCGACTTCATCACCTCCCTCTCCGCCAAATCACTTAAATTCCAAACAGAACCATCCGTCGCCACGTGGTGGAAAACCACCGAGAAATACTACACGAAAACCACCGGTTCACTTTCGCTCCGACTCGGTAAACAAGTATCCGACCCTACTTACTCTCTTGGAAAGTCGTTAACGGACAGACATCTAATCCAGTTAGCTTCCAAGGGTGAGTCAAGTCAGGCCATTAACGTCGTGTTAACAGCATCCGACGTGGCAGTCGATGGTTTTTGCTCAAGCAGGTGCGGGTCCCACGGTTCCTCGTCATCATCTTCCAAAGATGCCCATACGAAAGGAAAAAATTACAAATTTGCCTACATCTGGGTGGGTAACTCGGAGACTCAGTGTCCGGGTCAATGCGCGTGGCCATTCCACCAACCGATTTACGGACCACAGGCTGCACCACTGGTGGCACCCAACAACGATGTGGGTGTAGACGGGATGGTTATAAACTTGGGTGGACTATTGGCTGGGACCGCTACGAACCCATTTGGAAACGGGTATTATCAGGGGGATGCAAGTGCACCACTAGAAGCTGCGTCGGCATGTCCTGGGGTGTATGCTAAAGGAGCTTATCCTGGGTACGCAGGGGACTTGTTGGTGGAGTCGAGCACGGGTGCAAGCTACAATGCACATGGTACAAATGGTAGAAAGTATCTGCTTCCAGCTTTATATGATCCATCTACTTCCACTTGTTCTACTTTAGTTTAAATGTAAACTTATATAGCATACCATACCATAGCTTTATTAGATTTTTATCATCATTATTTCATTTATTATTATTATTATTATCATTAGTTCAATTTTATTCAAGTCTTTACCTCGAGTCTTCCGTTGATCCGAGTCTCTAGCTACAATATAGGGAATACTATCTCATTCCATTCGGCTTCTATGCCTGTGAATCCATTGCATTACAGTCTGAATTACATGGCACCGACTGAATGACCAACACACTCGAAACATGTAATTCTCAATGGATATGCCATAATCGAATATAAAATCCAAAAGCTCAACATAGATCAAAACAAACCGGGCAAATGTCTACAAGACTCATTTGAGTCATACCGAGCTAAAGGCTCAACAACACGACTGGTTATTTAATAAGAGTCATCGAGCGCAATAAAAAGTATTTAACTAACGTTTATGCAAATACATGCTTCAAACGCATTATTAACTCAAAAACATATCATTAGTTGGGGCAAATCATTTTTCAATTAAATCATGCCATTTATATTCCCAAAATGTCCCATAACACAATAAAATGCATTTTACAAACGGTTTATAAAACTAGATACACCAAAGCGCATTTATATAAAAAATATACATTTGTACAATAAATCACCAAAAAGTTCACATCTTAAGATTTGTTTATCAAAAATATCCAAAAACCCAAATATAGGTATTTTACAAGATTTACCAACCAAAATTTACCAAATATGTAAACTTCACTTAACACCTATTGATAAACATCAGGTAAAACCTTTTAATACTTCAAAATACTCATTTTGGCATATACATAGTTTTCATAATTAACTTGAACTCACCTTGCTAAGTTAAGTTAAACCTAGATTTCAAACCTAAAACATGAAGGTTTGAGATCCTCAAGCAAAAACCCACCAAGGAACTTTCTCAAGACTATAACCCAGCCAAATAAGTACCAATCATTAACTCAAGCTTCAAAATCACAAAACACCTAAGAAGCTTACCTCATCGATATTTGAACATCCATGTTAAATCTTTCGCATTACTTGTCTTAGATCTCCTCCAAAATCCTCCAAAATGCTCCAATGCGTCGCCAATAACTCCCAAAAATCACCCAAAAATGAGAGAGGATTGAAGTGAGTGAAGAATGGACAAACCCTAGCTCAAAAATGAGCTTTAAAATATGATCTAGACATTCCTACAGCCTTTCCCACGACCTCAACCATGTGGTAGGTCGTCCGCGTCAAAAACCCGTTTTGCTGAAACAGAGAGTTGCCCAACTTTTCTTGCGACCTAGGCAGTGGGATAAGTAGCAGAATTTTCTTTTTCGCTTCAGATGCAACTTTTCTCCACCAGAACTCGCCCATACCATAAGCTCTTAAGACCCAATGCATTCCACTCAAGGAATGACTTCCAAAGACTCATTACAATACATCAATCTTAACGGTATACCCAAAATCACGGGTCTTACAAGAATTGAAGCAGAAGGTGAGAAAATGTTTGAATTGCTGTTTGACAAAGAATTTTCTTCTCTATACTTGCAAGTTGCAGCCACAACGAATTGATCTGCAATCACATAATTTTCTTGCATTCTCTTTTTAGAATTAGATTTCATGTTTTTACTACTCAGTAGGTTCCTTAGTGCAACGAGCGTTTTAAAATGGTTTCAAGTTTGTAAAACCGAGTTGTTGTGTTGGTGTTCTATAATTTAGATGATCTTGTGGATGAGGTAATTATCTTTTGCCTCGTTAACTAGAGGAGTAATGCTATTGTTGTTCTTGTGTTTTTCATGTGGTTATATAAAATAAAATTCCTACGGATATTAAATGCCAATTCGTTGATTTATAATGTCAACATTGACATTAACGATATAAGAAATAAGGGGACTTTTTGTATCAGATAACATTAACTTAATTATTTATGTATTATATATGTATTATAATTTACACACACTACAAGAAGAAGGAGTTTTAGAGAAGAAATCTTCAGAGAAGCTTTTAGAAGTGTATCTAAAGCTCCATTATAGAGAAGGATTTAAATGACAAAAATGAGAAATGTAACTAAAGGTTGGACGACATTTAAAGAAAGATTTATAGTCTAATTATACGGTGTAAGAAATGTTGTTAAAAGTTTTAGAGAAGCTTTTTATAAAAAAATGTCTCTAAAAAGTTGCATCATTTTTAGAAACACTTTTTTAAGCTTCTCTAAAGATTAAT